AACTTATAAAGGCTCTAGATACTGTACGTCACACGTCCAAGGCCACACGGTGATTGTCCTTGATGGCCATACTGGATTGTGTGTGCGAGAATATTTGTGTTATGTTGTCCTGATAAAAAATTTTCTTCATTGCTACTGGATATAGGAGAAGGCAAAATTAAAACTTTTATAATTCCTCAGACATGGAAAACAAATGATATATGTTCTTAATTTTTAATAATGATGATGATTCTTTTATAAGTAGAGCTATATCAACATCTTACAGTGAATACACTCACTTTTTGAACAAAAAAATTTTAAATAATATGGTAGAAGCATTAGTAACGTACTATAGTATTGATAAAGCAACTCGCAAAGGAGTAGATAAATTAAACGATAATATTTATACTCATTTCTGTACAGAATATTTAAATAGTAGTAGAAAAGGTCTTTTTTTACACGAATTAGATTTAAACATCAACGCTGTTGTTATGTTAAGACGCAACTTAAACATATCTGAAGGACTTTGCAATGGTGCAAGATTACGAATTACAAAATTATTTAAATACAACATCGAAGCTGGAATAATCTCAGGTAAAAAACAAGGAAATAAAGTCTTTTGTCTACGAATAACACTTAATACAAACAATTTTTCTGCACTACCATTTAAATTGTACGGAAAACGATTTCCATTTATCTTAACTCTTTCTATGGCTATCAATAAATCTTAAGGTCAAAGTTTTGATGCCTTAGGGTTATACTTTAGAAAACCATTATTTTCTAATGGGCAATTATATGTTGCACTGNTGCTTCCTTTATTGATACAGACCTTATCAGGTTATGGGCCCAGGACACACAGTAAGAGTGGACAAAGCGGTGAAGGTAAAGGGTGAGCTGTGAACGTTACAAGTGACATTGACCTTTTTTTGAGAAAGTGAATTTTACGCGAGTGCAAAAATGGCGGCCGAAATATCAACGAGACAAGTCGACAAGTTCAACGGAACGAACTTCCGCTTGTGGAAATTTCAACTGCAGAACTTGTTCGTCGCAAACGGGATCGATGGTGTAGTCACCGGTGATCGGGTAAAGCCTGAGGACCTCACGACAGCCGATGGAAAGGCCTGGGTCAAGGAGGACGCCAAGGCAAAGTTCGTCATGTCGTCGACGATGGACCAGGAGCAGATCGATCACGTCCTGACCTGCACAACCGCCAAAGAGATGTGGGACAGGCTCGTCACCATACACGAGCAAAATTCAGCGACACACAAGCTGTTGCTCATTCAACGGTTCCATGAATACCGGATGGACTCGGGAGACTCAGTTGCCGCGCATGTGACGAAGGTCACCAATATGGCACGACAGCTTAAGGACCTGGACGAAGGAGTCACCGAAGTCATGATAATAGCTAAAATACTAGCAGGTTTGCCGACAAAATTTCGAGGCTTTCGAAGTGCCTGGAACAGCGTGGATCCAACAAGGCAAACAGTGGAGTATCTGCAACAGCGTCTCTTGGAAGAAGAATCGCTCATGGAAGCCGACGGTGAAGAGAAAAACGCGCTCTCGGCAACAATTAGAAAGAGCGACAAGAAGGACACCGGGGAAAAGAGCAAAAGAGGTAAAAAGAAGAAAAATAACAAATCAGTCGAGTGCTTCATTTGTGGTGTGAGAGGTCACTACGCACGCGAGTGTCCCAATAGGAAAAACAAAGAGTCGTCCGAGAAGGCTCAGAGTTCTCAGAACTCTGGTGCTGGAAACATGGCGCTGGTTGCCACAAACACAAACAAGTCGTCGGCGCGCAACGCTGGAAAGTTGTCGGAAGAAGCAAAGCGTCTGCTTAGTGCTAAAACGGCAGATGTGTGGCTTACCGACAGTGGCGCGTCAGAGCATATGACGCATCGACGCGAATGGTTCACCAATTATCGAGAGCTCAAAGACGGTAGCACCGTCTCACTGGGAGACGACGGCGAGTGTAACGTTGTCGGCATAGGCACCGTCTGCATCAAGAGGTTAGTTGATGGCAAGTGGTACGACAGCCGCCTCGAGAACGTGCTACACGTTCCTCGCATGAAGAAAAATCTGCTGTCCGTGGGAGCGTGCATGAGAAAAGGTTTTAAAGTTCTCTTCGAACACACAATGGTGAACATCTACGCTCAAGACGAGTTGTGCGCTACAGGCGTTCAGCAGGACAACAACGTCTACTGCATGCTGATTGATGTCGTTGGTATCCCCGTGCGAGCTCAAGGAAACGTCGCAACAAGTCTGGCCTGCTGGCATGAAAGGCTAGGTCACGTGAATGCTCGTGCTCTGTGACGACTCGTAGACAACGGGCTGGTGCTGGGAGTGAAGCTCTCAGATAAAGAAAAATTCTTCTGCGAGTCGTGTCAGCTGGGAAAGTCGCATCGACTGCCCTTTAACAAGCCAGTGGAGAGGAGAGCCACAAATCCCGGAGAGCTCGTGCACAGCGACGTGTGCGGACCAAACGAGTGATGCATCGTTGGGCGGCGCTCGTTTTTTTGTCATTTTCATTGATGATGCGACCAATTATCGTCATGTGTATTTTCTCAGGCACAAAGGAGACACCTTCGAGAGATTCAAGGAATACGAGAGAGCCGTGGCTAACAAATTTGGTCAACCAATCAAGCGATTTCGGAGCGACAATGGCCGAGAATTCAGCAACGCAAACATGCAGAGCTACATGAAGGACAGGGGCATCATGTTCGAGCCACCTGCACCGTATACACCGGAGCAGAACGGCAAGGCCGAGCGCAGCAATCGCACTGTCGTTGAGTGTGCAAGGACGATGCTTCTCGCCTCAAACCTTCCACGTTCCTTTTGGGCGGAAGCCGTCAATACAGCCGTCTACTTGCTGAACAGGGTGTCAACATCGGGCAGCTTGGCTGAGATGACTGTATACGAAGCCTGGACTGGCAGAAGGCCCGATCTGGAACGTGTAACGGCATTTGGAGCAGAAGGCTTCGTGCATACTCCAAAGGTTCACACAACGAAGTTCGACCCGAGGTCAAAGAAAGTTGTGCTCGTTGGATACGAGAAAGAGTCCAACAATTACCGAGTGTACAACAGGGTCACCAAACAGGTAACGGTTTCGAGAGATGTTGTTTTCTCTAGAGAGCCTCTTGGTTTTCAGAAGGAGACTGTCGGCAGCGGAGAGATCGTTCTCCCCGGCAAAGCTGAAGCTGATCCTCGAATNCCCCGAGGAGTGAGAGGCAAGGGGACTCACTTTAAACAAGCACCCCGAGGAGTGAGAGGCAAGGGGACTATATATATATATATATAATGATATGTAACGGTAGCATTTCCCGAGAACAGCGTTTAGAGAAATTTGTTCTAAAGCGAACCCCGTTGGAATTCACATATTTATATATATATATGAGTGCGCGGTGGCTCAGTCGGCTAGGTCGTGGATAGGCACGAGGGAGACCGTGGTTCGATTGCCGGCCAGTGCGACTTTTCGGGCAAGTACCTCTGTTTTTTTCACATGTGCTTTTTCACCACGCAATGTGCCTTGAGAAGGGTTTAGGCAACCTTCTCGTAGCAACAAATTCCTACTTTCCCCCTAACCCCCTCCTGTAATGGGAGGCCACCCATCTCTTTCCTTGTCCCTTTCCCAAGTGCTAAGTGCCCATAGTAGTGCCCTTATAAGAGGAGCTGGACATAGAGCACTATAATATAAAAAAAAAGATATATGCATGCAACTGACTACATATCCATAGCTGTAGTTGTATACTCATACGCATGGAGAAGAGCTGCGCATATTACTTTTCTTACTTTTTCTTTCTGAAAGCAAGATAAGATTTTGAAATGCAGTTGATCATTTATTCAACCGTAGAAAAAAAAACGTAATTGTCAAGTTATTAAACTTTTTTTTTCATTTTTCCAAAATCAACGAGTTCAACATGATCAACTTACTATTTTGCTTCAGTAATAAACGAGAGCCTTTACCCCAATGACCCAGTGTACTCAATTATTCTTCACTTTTCTGATAAGTGAAATTATTGAATAATAAATGAAAGCATTTACCACAACGACACAGTATACGCACAAATCTTTTTTTGTAATAAGTGATATTATTTTATATTATACGAAAGCCTTAACCCAAAGGCCCCAGTGCACTAAAGTCTTTTTTATTATTAAAATGATTTATATTTGTTAACTAATAATACATAGCTCAATTGTAATAATACGATAAAGCGTTCACGACGTGGCCCCATACGTATGCGGTGAGCTCGTCAACACGCCTGACGTACTTCAACCTGC